TTCATGGACCATTGAAATTACACACACACACACACACACACACACACACACACACACACACACACACCAGTGGCATTGGGAGGGTAGAAAGCTGATATAGGGCTGTAAGAAATATTTTTAACACCAAAAAAGATGAAAAGAAGATAATTCCAGAATAATAGGCAGTCCTTTAAATTGAGTAAATGTAACTTTATAAGAAACACTATATATTCCAAATATTTCTAATTTTGCCGTAAGTGAATGAAAGCTCCTTTATGCAAGGATACTGACATATGGAGATGATTGAGATCAACTTCTTCATTTGTTCAGCAACCAATCAACGTGTATTTACTGAGTGAGGCCCTATCCTAAGTGCTCGGGATATACTGTTGAACAAAAAAAGAACATGAACCCAGGCTTTATGCAACTTATAGACTAGTTATAGACTAGTTGGGGGGAGGGGTCATTCAACAAAAAATCTTCAAATGTATATTTATGAATTGTAATAAATAGTATAAAAGACATTTTAAAAATTAAAAAAAAGAGGGGGATGCCTGGGTGACTCAGTCGATTAAGCATCTGACTTCAGCTCAGATTGTGATCTCACGGTTTGTGAGTTTGAGCCCCACATCCAGCTCTGTGCTGACAGCTCAGAGCCTGGAGCCTGCTTCGGATTGTGTGTCTCCCTCTCTCTCTCTCTCTCTGCCCCTCCCCCATTCACACAGTCTCTCTCTCTCTCTCTTTTTTTTCTCTCTCTCTCTCTTAAAAATAAACATTAAAAAAATAAAAATAGGGGTGCGTGGGTGGCTCAGTCGGTTAAGCATCCGACTTCGGCCTCAGGTCACGATCTCACGGTTCGTGGGTTTGAGGCCTGCATCGGGCTCTGTGCTGACAGCTCAGAGCCTGGAGCCTGTTTCAGATTCTGTGTCTCCCTCGCGCTCTGTCTCAAAAATAAACATTAAAAAAATTAAATAATAAAAATAAAATCGTATGAAAGAAAAATGCAGCATGTCAAAATAGGTTACAACAGGGGGACCTGACCTAGGATGGGGGTCAGGGCAGATTTCCCTAAGAGACATTTAAACTGAAATCTGAACTTCAGTAGACATGATGTACATGATGAGGGTAGGCAGGGTAGAGTGTTCCGAGCATGTGTGAGACTTATGGGTATTCAGGAGCATGGACAGTATCTGGGACTAAAATGTCAACTCTTTGGAACAAGAGCAAGCATGGTGCAAGATAAGGTTGACAAGGTAGGACGAGGCCAGGTCAAGGCCTAGTAGACCACCATATGGATTTTAACTTTGATCTAAGAGCACTAGAAGCCACTGGAGGATTTTCAGGAGAGTGACATTGTAATATTTGTATTTGTGAAAAATGATTCTTGGCCATGAGAGAGTGGGTGGAAGAGGGAGAAATAGAGGTCAGGAGGTATGCTAGGAGGCTTCAAAAGTAGTTTAAGTAAGAGATGGACCGTAGCAGGACTAGAGGAGATGGAAAGAAGTGGATAGACGTGACCGACACTGTTTTTTAAATGTTTGTTTATTTTTGAGAGAGACAGACAGAACGCGAGTGGTGGAGGAGCAGGGAGACACAGAATCCGAAGTAGGCTCCAGGCTCTGAGCTGTCAGCACAGAGCCTGAAGCAGGACTCGAACCCACGAACCTCGAGATCATGACCTGAGCCAAAGTCAGAGGCTTAACTGACTGAGCCACCCAGGCACCCCAACAGACACTTTAAAAAAAAAAAAAATGTATTTATTTATTTATTTTTTTATTTAAAAAAAAAAAATTTTTTTTAACGTTTATTTACTTTTGGGACAGAGAGAGACAGAGCATGAACGGGGGAGGGGCAGAGAGAGAGGGAGACACAGAATCGGAAACAGGCTCCAGGCTCTGAGCCATCAGCCCAGAGCCTGACGCGGGGCTCGAACTCACGGACCGCGAGATCATGACCTGGCTGAAGTCGGACGCTCAACCGACTGCGCCACCCAGGCGCCCCTGTATTTATTTATTTTGAGAGAGAAGAAGAGCATGAACCTGGGAAGGGCAGAGAGAGAATCCTAAGCAAGCTCCACGGAGCCCGATGGAGGGCTCAAACCCACAACTCTGAAATGAAGACCTGAGCTGAGCTCAAGACTTGGACGCTTAACCGACTGAGCCACCCAGGTGCCCCTAAGATTGATTTATTTGTTTGCTTATTTATTTATAGATTTCTTTTTTATTTTTTAAGTAATCTCCACATCCGACATGGGGCTTGGACTCACAACCCCAAGATCAAGAGTCCCATGCTCTACATAGAGCCAGCCAAGCACCCCTACAACAGACCTTTAGAAGGCAACCTGAAAAGGACTTGGCTAAGAGTCTCAGATGGACACCTGGATGGATGGTGGTTCCATTTATCAAGAGAGACACATTTGCTAAGGAAATCATATGTTCAGAAACCCATGGAATTTGGTTGAGAAGTGAAAGAGAGTGAAAAACTGGTAGCTAGAGAAGTTGGTGGGATCAACTGAAGGCATTTGAAGACTGATAAGAGAGATTTATAAATGTACAGATTTATAGACTTCTTAATGTTGAAGTGCCCCAGAGCTTAGCTCATGGTCTTTATTTATCCTTACTTTTTTTTTTTTTTTAGATTTTTAAATTTATTTATTTTGAGAGCAAGAGTGTGTATGTGAGTGGGGGAGGGGCAGAGAGAGAGAGAGAAAGAGAGAGAGAGAGCGAGCGGGATAGAGAAAATCCTAAGTAGGCTCCACACTATTAGCACAGAGCCTGATGCAGGGCTTGAACTCATGAACCATGAGATCATGACCTGAGCTGAAATCAAGAATCAGATGCTTAACCGACTGAGCCACCCAGGCAGCCCTAGATTTTTTTTATTTTGAATTAATCTCTACATCCAACATGGGGCTCGAACCTGCAACCCCAAGATCAAGAGTCGTTTGCTCCAGGTACCCCTATCCTTACTTCTTTATGATCTCATTCACTGTCATGGCTTTAAACACGGTTGACCCTTCAACAACATGGGTTTGAACTGCACTGGTCCACTTACATACGCATTTTTAAAAATATATATATTGTAGTACTGTAAATGTATTTTTTCTTCCCTATGATTTTCTTAAATTATTATTTTTTAAGTTTATTTATTTGAGGGGGAGGGGCAGAGAGAGTGGGAGAGAGAGTGAATCCCAAGCAGGCTTCACAACAGCAGCACAGAGCACAAGGTGGGGCTCGAACTCACAAACCCATGAGATCATGACCTGAACCAAAATCAAGAGTCGGCTGCTTAACTGACTGAGCCACCCAGGCACCCCTATTCCTTATTATTTCCTTAATAACATCTTATTTTCTGTCTTATATTCTAAGAATCCAGTATTCTGAATCCAGTACATACAACATACAAAATATGTTTATGCTATTGGTAAGGCTTCTGGTCAAGTAGGCTAGTAGTAAAGTTTTAGGGGAGTCAAAAGTTATACATGAATTTTTGAGTGCATGGAGGGGTCAGAGCCTCTAATCCCTGAATTGTTCAAGGGTCAACTGTATACCTATATGCTAACAACTCCCGAATTTATAGATCCTTCTCTCCAGAACTCCAGGCTAATGTGTCCAACTTTTTATTTGAATTTTGTTTGGTTGTCTAATAGGCATCTAACTTAACATGTCCAAAATTGAAGTCCGGTTCTTAACTCCCAAATCTGTTCCCCCATAGTTTTCCCCAAGCCAGTTAATGGCAAGGCCATTTTCAGCTTGCTCAGACGTTTAAGGCCTTGGAGACATTTTGATTCCTTCCTTTCTTTCATGCCCCACATATTGTTGGCTGTACCTCCAAAACACATCCAGAACCTGACCACATTACATTACCTCTACTGCTACCACTCTAGTCCAAATCACCATCATTCTTTCCTGAGTATTGCAAGAGCTTCCTAGCACATCTCCTTACTTGTAACTTTGTGTCCTTTCCCACAGTCTAGCTTCAATTAGAGTGATCTCAGGCACACTCATGCCTTAGGAAGCCTTCACTGGCTCATGACTATCTGTACTGCTGTTCCCTGCGAACTCCCTCACCTAAAATCTAGTATCAAATAATCTTATTTGCTTTAATATCAGCTTCTCCCATGGAGCCCACACTGACCACATTGTTTCAAATTACAATTTGCCCCTCCACCCACTTCCTGATGCCTCTTACCTTGTTCTTTTACTTTTCCATGGTATGCATCATCTAACACACTATACACTGCAGTTATTGTATCTATTGTTTACTAATACCCACTGTCATTGCCACCCTAGCAGAATCGTTTATCTGTTTTTCCCCCTGATGTAGTCTAATGTATGCCCATGACAGTACTTGGCATAAAGCAGGTGCTCAATTAATATTTGAATATATCAACAGAAGGAAAGAGGCCAGAATGGGGAGGTTGAAGCTATAAAAGGGGTAACTGACATGCCAGGATCTCTAAAATACAAATGGGTATGGAACCAAACACACACACACACACACACACACACACACACACACACACCGCACACGGGACTATCTGCAGCACTAGAATGGCTCTTCCCAATACCACATCCTTTTGGGGGAGGGGGGAGGGAACTTTCACATTTGTTTATTTTTACTCGCCATCTCTTTTTCAGCACAGTTTTTTTTTTCAATACCACATCCTAAGGGTACCGTTTAGAGCTTTCTCGCTCGGTCCCCCACGCCCTGTGTTCTTCGGGGGTCCCTACACAGCACAGAACCTTTTAATCAATCATTTCTGAACTTCTAAGGTCCAGCGAAGTTCCTGACGCATATTACGTGCTCAAAAGAGGTTTTTGGGTAAATTTACCAATGTTTCTGTGCCCCCGACTACATTAGACTTCTTAAAAAGGAGACTCCGGACGTCACTCGCTCCAGCAGCCCTCGGCGCCGACACCGCCCACTTCGCCGCGAGAACTTAACCCGACGTCCAGCATTTATTACGTAATAAAACTGCGCCCTGAAGCCGTGGAGGGAAGAGGCGGATTGAGCAGGCTCCGGGACACGTGACGGGATTGGGCGGGGCATCAAGGTTCATATCCCAGAGTCCTTTGCACTGACTCCTTTTCCGACTCCTTGTTGAGCAAAGATGTCGAAGCGAGGTGAGTATCTGGGAGATCCTTCGCCATCTGTCGCGAGGTGGCTGCTGGTCGCGCCCGGAGCGGTGGCCACGGGCAGCTGTGGCGCTTTGCGCTCCTCCCGGGCGGAGAGGGAGAGGAGGGCCGCGAGAGAGCGCTGGAAGGGCTGCCGAAAGCGGCTGGGGGGCCTGGCGGGTTGAGTTGGCCAGATCCGGACGGGGCTCTAGACCGAACCTCGCGGGGTCGCTCTGCGCCTAGAGCTCCAGTAATGGAATTGAAGTGGGGCTGGCTTAGGCCCCATGCTGGGCGACTTGTGCGGGCTCCCGCCTTGCAAGAAGAGCTACGTCGTGCAAAAGCTGGAGCGAAGATTGGGTGGTTCAGGCCTCTTACTCTCCACGTAAAGGCGGTAATAGTGTGGAATTGGCTGTTCGCCATGAGAACGGGGTGGCACATGGGGAGGGGTAGGTGGAATCCCAGAGAGAGGGAATTTAGTCTGCCGTTTCCCAAAGCACGTGCGAATGAATTTATACCTTACGAGTGTGAGGGCAACTCCGAACCATGACTAGACAGCGACCCCATTCCTGTGTTCCTTTCTACCCGCAGGACGTGGTGGGTCCTCCGGTGCGAAATTCCGGATTTCCCTGGGTCTTCCGGTCGGAGCCGTGATCAACTGTGCTGACAACACGGGTGAGACCTTCAGCTGCACCCTGCCAGCACCCCCCCCCCCCC